AACCCTCCAAGGGCTTTGCCAAAGCCAGGCCCATTATTACATATGCAGGTTCATGGGCGTCAGTGATGGGCAGAATATTGGGCACACGTCTGCTGATTATGATGGCCAACGTGTTCGGGCAAAGCTCCATACAAGTATTGCGTGGGACAGAACTGACAGAACGTGTCGTCGAACTCTTTGCTACAAGTTCATGTGAACCAGAAGGAGAGGGTCAATCGAGTCTTCCAAGGAAAGTACAGAGCCAAGGCACGGCAGTACCGCCAGGTATGCATTATAGACCTTATGGACATGACACGGTTTCTACTTGCTCACAGTTTCTTCAGACTGGGCAGGGAAGTGTATCGTCAGGACCTGGGTGGGGGCAGCCATGGGTTCACAATGGTCACCAGTGGTGTGTGCGGTGGTGGCGACCACCGGGGAGTACATGTTCTGTTCGTCCCGTAGGGATAATGTTCGTCTAGGCGACGCATTCGGGCCATTTCGATACAATGCTCGTTATGTGGACAATCGATATATGGTGTACTCACCCGGAGCTGAAAAGCATCGCTGTTCCCCTTATGGACTGACCTCGAATTTTACTCTCGCCCGATTCTGCTCGAGGAAGTGGCCTCCAGTGAGCTGCTGGGGTTTAATGTGGATTGGCAACATCGGACAATCACATTCCTTCAGCCTTCTGCCTTGTCCAAATTGAGAAGTGTCAATTCTATCGCAGGTTTTCATGCTCGAGCACTTACCATTGCTCGAATGGTCAGACCCAGACACTTGATTGCTGCTCAATTATCGGATCTCACACCGCAATACGTGTGGAAAGGCTTCATTTGCGTGAACTTATGCCCATCCTGGCCCGATTGGCAAGACAGTTTCAGATCGCAGATCTGACAAGCACCGTGACTCTTTCGGTATGTTGATCCTGTTGGGTATGCAAGCCTCCAAGGTATGTTTCACCTTGTCTCAAACAAGGCTCTCGCTCTTTCGTGCCAAAAAGTGCTACTGCAGGTCAGTAGACAACCACGCGCTTTTGATAGTGGTGCATCCACCGCCACGTGTTCCTGACTGCTTGATGCTTCACGTTACAGGGATGCCACCCGCCAGTTTGTTACACAGCATCTCGGCCATCCACCTTAGTCCATACGGACGTATGTTGCGCGAGGCAGGGACGTCACCCGCCATTTTGTTACGTCGATTCTCGGCTTCTATATTCATTTTCGCCCACACTACGTACTGACGTTTGTTGTTTGCTTGGTATGGGGCAAGGTTGCCACCCGCCGCTTTGTGATGTTTTTTTGTTTATGACTTTTCAACCATGCTATGCATGGATGTACGTACCATGCTGCTGGCCACTCGCCACTTTGTTCCGAGGTGTCTTGACCATTCTTTGCGGGGTTTGGGTTATAGGATCAACCTTTTACTGCATCTCGTTCGACACAGGGATACTATGTTGACGGAACTGTTGTCGTCCATCCGTTTGTACGCGGACGAATGTCTGTCGATATTCTCTAGGACATACCACCCGCCACTTTGTTACGCCGTGCTTCGGGTCCTTGTGTATGTTGTTTGGTTCTTTCCTGGCGCTTGATGCTCAGTCATCCGACTGACTACATGCAAACATGCTGCAACTATGATCGTGTGCATAAGTTTGCCCTCCCGGATAGTGTATTTGTCAGAGTGAAAGTAGCGTCGGGTAGTTGCGGCAGTGTGCACTTGTGTGGGAGACCTGCACCTTGATCATGGGTGTGGGCAAAGACATGGGAATGAATCTCGAACGTGAAGCCATGCAGATTGTGAACAGCAGCAAGCTTGCCCAAATTAGAATGCTTCAGTCCATGTGGCTTCGCCATGATTTTTCTACTGTTACGTAGCGATGAGGCATGATGAGGCATCCATATTATTTGAGTTGTTTGTTGTTGTTGTTGCTGTTGTTGTTGTTGTAGCTTTTAGGGTTTACCGAAAGGGTTTACCGAACACAGAGTCGTATCCTTGACAGCGTAGCTTGCAACCTGTCTCCACAATGGCTACCCATGCATGGGTTTTTCGATGTGAGTGCGGGAGGCGCTACTCTTGCAGCACTTCAGAAAGTGCTCGGGTTACGCATCATAGATGTCGTGCGACACACTTCAGCAATGAAGATGTCACTCTCGACGATGGAGAGATCAAGCCACATAATATCTTGTGGGTGATGCTGTCGCACAAAGATGGGAGACACGATGCAACTACCTTGCGTGCGGAGCTCCTGGGACGAGGGGTTGATTCATCACTCTTACTGGTGAAGTATGGGTTCACTCAGTCTCAAGCATACGACGGAGATCGCCAGGTGCAGTATAACGAAACTACTATGTATTCGTTTTTCTTTCGTTGGATGCAATGCGTTGCACACTTCCTCGCTACAACACGGAGGACAATCCGATGCGTAATGAACCTGGAGTGTACAGCAAGATGCCACTTTAGTCATGTATCCTAACTACTCCCGTTGCTTAACGGCAAGAAGAGGCAGCCAGTCAAA